CGAATCCAAGTCAGATGGAAAAGATAGTCACCATGTAAATAGTCAAAATGCACAGAGATGAACGATGTGGGCCAATGTCACACAGCTATCTCATGACAGAACTAAAATGTGTTTTGTTGCATAATATCCCATGTAGTTGGCTAATCCACAAGCCTTTTCTTATACTTTCTACCTAATGCTTATGGGACCTTGCAAGTGGGCCTTCCTAGACACTGTTTTCCCAGGAGTGTCCTACCCTTTGGGGAAGTGGGAAATAGTTCTTCCTCTTACTCAAATGTGATATGAATAGGTTCTACCAATCAGAGTACTTCTTTATCATGAATGGTCCATTCAGGATGTGGATATGACCCAAGCCAGGCCAGAGTCCTTCCCCTAGAATTTACAAATTGTAACAAGACAAAGGGCAGCGCCACCCTGGTGGCAAAGATGAAGATGAAAATGTAAGGGACGGCCATGTCCCCTGCTGCTTGGAAGAAGCGAGGCTGAGCACGCGGAGGTGACATGCAGGGAGCAGCAGAGTTCATGCAACATTCCAGTCTCTAATATCAGCTATTTTCAAAGTTCAGCTGCAAGTCTGCTAATTCTTTTTAGTCTAAAAAATTGAGTTGTGTTTCTGTCGCTTGCAACCAAAGGCTTTTGGCTCAGAGAGGTAGTGTGAGTTGAATTTCCATGAGTAGTTTCCCAATCCCTGAGCCATAAAGGGATGCCAGGGTGAGCTTTTGGAATTCTGTGGCCTACAGCTTAGTTTACACAAAGCTGTTGATTCTGCCTCCAAACAATGTCAGAAGACACGGCTAAAGACAGTATTTTCGAAACCTGCTTTCAAGATACCCTCAAAATGTTTTTGCTTATGATAGACTTGCATTTAGCAAAATCAAGAAACATTTCAGTGGGATGATGCTGAATAGCCAAGTCAACCTCAAAATCTCCAAATTAGCTTCTTGCTGCTGTTATAATTGACCTTGTTTTAAAGACAGGAAAATTAAAACCCAGAGAGGCAAAGTAGGCTATTCAAATTGGCACATACTTGGTTAAGTTTATCCTAGAATCTGTCTTGTTACTCAGAACATTGTTCTTCCCAAATGCACTCTCTTAACAGCTGGATCTTTGATGTGGAAAGAAAACATTGATTGTGATGAAAACACACAAACACACACACACAAAAAAGAAAGAAAAACAAAAAACAAAAAACTTCTCAGACTCCATGGTTGTTCAATGAAGTTAATCATTCATTTGGGAGAGGAAACCTTGAGGATGCTATCAGAGGTAATGTAAACTTAAACTTTCCCATTTTGGTTGAACATTATAATCACTTGTAAATACATTAAATAGTATAAATTTTGGAGTCTCCTCCATCCCCACCAAAATCTACTGAGTCAGAATATTGGGAAGGTGGGTACCAGGATTTTCTATATTTTTGGTCCAAGGACTAGCATTTGGGATTACTGATGTAGATTTTTTTTTAACTATATCATCAACTGTTTTATAAAAACACTTAACAAAAATGTCTCTTGATTTCATTGATGTAAAATCAACACAACCATTTATATAACAAAGGTAGCCTGACTGTTTAAGCAATGTTATTTATTCAATCAAAGTTCATTAATTCCTTGTAAGTTACTGGTTTCTGTGTGAGTCAGATAAAAACTCAACCATCAAGGAACCTAGAGGGAGAGCTTACACATGCATATCCAAATACTCATATTTCAATTACTCCTGTATGCATATTCAAATGAGATCATGATGTCACTACTACAGGTTGGCGTTCCAGGGGAAAAGCTGGCTGAAATGGGAGAGGGCTTTTTGGAAGAGTGCTTAAACTGAGCTCTGAAGGCCAGAGAGGATTTGGATTTAGAACCACAAGGAAGATCAACTCAAAGCAGAGTTAATAGCTGGAGTCCAGATCAGGAGCAGGTAAATAATAGCAATAACAGTGACCAGTACCTCATGCATGCCAATTACTTCTACAAGAACTTCACATGGTCATCTTGTTTAATCCTCACAGCAAAGCAATGCATGAATAATTGCTTGGTGCTATTATTGCCCATCATTCTTCATTATACAGATGAGAAAACTGGGTTACAAATACTTCTGATAACTTGCCCAAAGTCACCCACCAAATAAACTAAATGGAGAGTACATACCTATTATGTTCAGTACTTGTTTGCTAATGAGTGAATACCTTCATCCATTTACCAACATTTCAAAAATGAAGAAATGAAGGTGAAGCAAAGCTAAGGCACCAACCCAAGGTTACCCAGCTGGTTGTTGGCAGTGCCAGGATTATAGTCATCATAGTGCCCTTTCCACTATGCCAAGCATGCAGTATGGGACTGAGTGAGAGGAAAGGTTAGTATGTCACCCTCTCTTGGTTAAAAATTATTTGGAAGAAAGGTAAATCCAGAACTGAACCTTAACCAAGGTATACCTTCTCAATGCAGGGTGACAAATAACAAGAGAGAGGAGATAATCATGGAAGAGTGGGACTTGTTTTGGACAAATTTCATGTATAAAATATTCTCAACTGTAAAACTCGGCACTTAGACAAGAAGATTTCCAAAGGTTCTTCTAGCTTGGCTATTCTGTAGGATCCTAGCAGGGCTTGAAACAGGTTTTACAACCTGTTTTTGTAACCTGTTAACCTTGAAATACAAATAAATAAACACACACACACATCTTATATATGTCTCTAAGTTTAATGACTGAAATACAGCTAGCCATGAATAATCATAGTCTACAAAATCTACATGGAGAGGCGAGGAAGCAGCTGTTAGATAAATGGAAAGGTAGCGTTCTTCGATTGAGTCCTGATTCTTCACTTACTGTTTCAGGTGATGCTGAGAAAGTCACTTGATGCATTTGTGGAAACCTCCAGGACCTAATCAATTTCTTCCTTCCAAAAGAGGGGACTTAGCAGGAGACAACATCATTTTCTGTGATATTGCAAACTGAAGAGAAGACAGAGCAAACTATGATGAAGGCCACCTGGACACTTAGGCTTGATGTTTATTGTTTCCCCCTAGACTGCATGCCCCACGGGATCCAGAGTTGAGAGCATTCCCTGCATCAAGCAGCAAGATAGGTTCATGTGTATTTCCTCTGTCATGCTGTATTTTTTTAAGTAAAAGAAAAATTTTAAATATGGAAGTTGAGGGTTGTTTGTAATTCATTTTGACTGATGCTGTTGCACCTAATGCAATATTTAGCTGCTTTCCTTGTTTAGAAGTCTGAGAACAGCAGTGATCCTCAAAAATAGTCTTCATCTATTGTATTGCAAGATGGATGGAGAAAAAATTTTCCACACAGCAACAATGATGACATTTGAATTTAGATAGCACCTGTCTCTGAAAAACCTCAGAGAGACTTTGAGAATATTTTTTCATTCCTCATTTTAAGAAGCCTGTAAGGCCAGTTGAAGAGGTTCTTCTGTCATGTACTGAGTCAGACAGTGACGCCCACGCCTGGCCTCCTGATTTCCTAAAGTTTATCTAGTTAGTTGTTTCATTGCCAAAACCAAGGTCACCCCTGACCCAGGCACTAACAAACAGCACTGATTTATTGGGTCCCTGCAATTTGAACACATTAGCAGCTTTCTAGTGAAAGCAGAGGCAAGAAAAGACCCTCGTCATCTGTTAAAATATCAGAGTCAATATTGAAGATAGAGAAGAGATTTACAAACATGGAAACAGGAAATCCAGAAGGAAAACCCCAAGTGTTAGATTGGAATTGGAAACACAGAAGTAAACTCATAGCATTGTTTATTTCAAATATGTAGAAATGAACATAGATGTGTATTCTGTATCTATGTGTATGCCTATGTGTCAGTGTATTATATACACTCCTATCTTTCTTCCCTTCATCTACTGAAAGGCACTGGGAAAAAATGTTATCTAGTAACACTGTAGACACTGAGATCCCATATCTCGCTTTCAAACTAGAATTTCCCATTAAAGGGAACCAAGGCCTCATGGAAAAAGGGTTGATTTCAAGGCTGGGGCAGGAGGAGTGGTAGATGAGCCCCAAATATTTTTGGCAACAGAAAGTGGAAAGGTGCTATAAGAATATAGGAACAATTCAAAAGGAAATAGGAGTCAGGTTGAAGGGACTCCTACTGGCTAAATCTGGGCAAGTTTAAGCATTAAAATAAATAATGATTGTAACAGATTAGCTCCTGCTGTATAAAATAGTAATCCTTGAGTCCATATTGAGAAAAGAAAGAGGAGAGGGAAGAAATCAGGGTGGCAGAAAGGGAGGGAGAGACAGAGACAGAGGGAGAGAAGTCTTAAGTCTTTCTTATAGTAAATGTCAATAAAAGATGTAGAGAGATGAGAAAGATAGAAAATCATCATTTGACAACCATCCTGGTGAAGGTTACTCCAGAAAGAAATGAATGGGTGATAAAGTAGGTGTGTAGAGTTTTGTTGAAGTATAGTATATTGGTTAGTTTGTGACTGTTATAAAATCAGTCACAGAGATTAAAAAAAATCTAGTAAAAAGCAATTTGACTAGATGCTCAAAGTTTGGCATCACTAGGGGTTGGATAGATGAATTTAGGTTCCTCACTATGAGATGCATTGGAAAGTGTGTGTGTGTGTGTCTCAGAGGAAAGGGCACAAATATAACCAAAGGTTGGAATTGAGTAAAACCTGTGTAAAGAGGATAGAGGAACTGTTTTTGAAACATTTCTGAAAGCTTAATACGTTAAAAATCAGAATTCATTTTATGAGATTAGATGAAAATATGCTCCAGTCCGAAGTACTTTCAATTCCCCCAGCACCTTCACCCCAAATATATGATTGAAAATGTTCTTTCCATATCAGTTATTTGGTTGCTTATTCAATACACATCTTAATGCATTTAGTGCCAAGGTACGAGGCATAGCTCAGATGATAAGAAAGGCAGAAATAAGATATGAAGCTTAAAAGTGAGTAGTCAGGAGAAGCATCATAGAGAAGATGAGGTTTAAGACAAGCCTTTAAAGTTGGACAAGATGTGGTCAGGTGCTCACTTTGGCAGCAAATACACCAAAACTGGAATGATATGGAGAAGATCACTAGGATCCTTGTGCAATGATGATATGCACATTTTTGAAACGTTCCATAAAAATATGTGGTCAAGGAGAAGCAGGAAGAAGGCATTCAAGGGTTCAAGGGAGAAGAAGATGCAGTAAAAGATATGCAGTTGCAGAGCCAGGAAGAGTGTTTGCATCAGGACTATTTAAATTGCTAGTGACAGAATTTCATTCAAACCATTTCAGAAAACAAAAAGGGACCTTAATGGTACCTGTAAAGGGAAAGTGCATGCTACGGTTTAGATAGGAGGTACCCCCCCAAAACCCATGTGTGAGATAACACAAGAGTGTTCAGAGTCGAAATGATTAGATTATGAGAGTGTCAACCTCGTCAGAGGATTAGTCCACTGATATGGGTTAATTGGGTGGTAATTGTTGGCTGGTAGGGTGTGGCTAGAGGAAGTAGGTCACTGGGGGCATGTCTCTGGGGTTTGTATTTTGTCCCTATTGTATGGAGATCTCTCTGCCTCCTTTTTGCCATGTCCTGAGCTGCTTTCTTCTGCCATGCCGTTCTGTGTAAGTTCTGCTTCACCTCTGGCTCTGTGGTCAGCCAACCATGGACTGTACTTCTGAAACTGTGAGCCAAAATAGGCTTGTCCACCTCTTTGTTGTTTTGTCAGGTCTTTTTGTCACAGTGATGAAATACCTGACTAGAAGAGTGCATAAGCAGTGCAGCTTCAGGTATGGCTAGAACCAGGTACCTAAAGACATGCTGTTAAAAATGGAGTCCCTCTTTATGACATTTGCTGGTAAATGGATAGATCTGGAGACTCTCAGTCTAAGTGAAATAAGCCAATCCCCCCAACCAAAGGTTGAAGGTTCCCTCTGATATGTGATGTTAACCCAAAACAAGAAGGTCAGAGGGGAAGAAGAAAAGTTCAGTGGATTAGACAACAGGGAATGAAGGGAAGGGAGGTGACACAGGGAAAAGAAAGACAGAGGAGTGAATCTTGACATAACTTTCCTATGTACATATATGAATATAACACAGTGAGTCCCACCATCAGGTACATCCACAAAAATGTGGTCTTAATTAGAATAAAACATATTCCATGCCTGTATAATTATATAAAATGGACTTTACTGTCATTACAACTAAAAAGAACTAATAAAAAAAAATGGAGTCCTTTTCTATCTCTGTGTCTTGGCTGTGTTTCTCTCCCTCTGCATCAGCTTCATTCTCAAAATAACTTTCCCCAGTGCTAAGTTACAGTTGATAGATTTAAGAATTTGGTGTGTGTGTGTGTGTGTGTGTGTGTGTGTGTGTGTTGAGGGGAGAAACAGTTTCTTATTCCTAATAGTTCCCAAAAAAGTCCAGAACTACACCCTGTTGGTTGAGCTTTGGTCATACGCTGACTTAGGCACTGATTATTATAAATAGAGTGGAATGTTCAGATTGCCAGATCTTGCCAAGGATTCTTTTCTGGGGGCTGGGAGGTGAGGTGGGACTGGAAGTAGCATTAACTCCCCTAGAACCTTAAAAACTGAGGGTTGAGGCAGTTTCTCAAAGAAAAACTTGGGTGTTATCAGAAGAAGAGAAAATGGCCATGGGTCAATCTAACCCTGCCAATGGGTGTTTGGGGGACACCACCAGTCCCAGTTGACTCTAGCATGGGCAATGTTAAGAAGTATTGGAATTCAGTGGGAAGCCAGGTTGTGGTCATTGTCTCAAAGGCCTTAAATGCTAGACTGAGATCATGCTTCTTCTTTTTTTTTTTTTTAATGGTTACAGCAGGGATAGACACAGTCTTTCTATAAAAGGCCAGATAGTAAATATTTTAGGCTGAGCAGGCCAGATGGTCTCTGCCACAACTCTTTGACTCTGCTGTTGCAGTGGGAAAGCAGCCACAGATGACACACGAACAAATGAGCATGGCTGTGTGCCAATAAAACTTTATTTACCAAAATAGGTGGCGATTTTGACCTGCGGACTCTAGTTTGCTGATCCTTGGTTAGAGGAAGCCATTGAAGACTTTGAGCCTACAAATTATATCATCAGACTTTTTGCTTGAGCTAAAGGTGAATTGAGGTACTGAATGGAGAATGATTAGTGGGAACGTTCTGAGTGGGAAGAAAAACTGGGAGTCTGTTGCAATGGTCCACATGTTTAGAAGCTCAAGAAACCAATATGGCTTGTGCAAGCCAAATATACCTGGGAGTCTGACCTCACACACTTCAGCTGGCACAGAATTGGGTCTGTCTGTTCTTAGCTGACCTAGATTCTCACCATCTTGCCAGTTCAGCCACCTCTGAAATCCTATGCTGGAGTTTGTAAATCATCTTGGGAGTCTGATTATTCCTTTTCCTTGCTCTAGTGTTTTTGATTTTGAGAACTAAGTCTGTACTATTTGTATGAGAGAGAAAAATCAATAGAAAGAAAAAGTTTAATAAAAAAATACATTCTCCATTGACTTTAATTAACTTGGCCTTAGGTTTACAACTTTGGCAAGAATGGAAAATGAAAAAAAAAAAAAGAAGAAGAAGTTCTCACATCTCACCTTATATACACCAAGCTTTTTAAGAATAAAATCTCAAATTAAAACCCAAATGGATCAGCAATTTATTTGCCTGCAACAAGTTGAGGGGAAAAAAAACAAACAAGATGTGTTTTCTTCTTATTGCATTCTTGTCGGATGTGACAGTTCTAGTGCCTGTGGGAAATGACTGAGCACCGGAATCAGGCCAATGGTGTATCTGTGTCACAACCTCCTTGCCTATTCTCTGGAATCAGATGGTCATAGCTTTGGTGTCTTCTGGTGTCTGATGACTTAAGACCCATAATCTTTGAAACCTGTCTGCACTTGCTTGTTTTGTCAGCACCAGTGCTTTCTGCCTTAGGGTGTTTTACTCTTCAGAGAAAAAAATCATCAGGAGCTATGATGTGGGTACCTGCCTCCTGTCAGGTGCCTGCAGAAGAGCCCATGATTGCATGGACAATTCACATAAATTCACACACCCAAGACTTCTCTGTCATATGACATGATGAATAGCTATTTAGACATGTATGTGCCTTAAATAGATATAAACATGTATATTAGTGTAGTATAAAGGTACACACAAGAGATGCTACACACATCCATAAAGTCACGTGTGCATTCAATTGCACAATAGATATATGAATGAACACCTAATACCATAGTACAGCATATAGAGACACAATCAAGCTGCCACATAAATATTACATATTATTTTCCCCACATGTCTACAATGGATATTTAGACACTAGAAAACACATGTAGGACTACAGATACATTTAAAATTAAAAATAAAAACTCATCCAAGTATGTGTCTAATTGACACATGCACAGCATCTACATATAATATCTCTCTGCATCTCAGGATCTGGGCCCCTTCATCTCTAGCTGCATTCTCTGCTACTCTAATACTCTTATCTTCCATAATTATACTCCAAGCTATTCCCTGCTGTTCCACAAATGTCAGGTGCATTCCCACCTCAGTGTCTTTGCACTGCTTGTTCCCTGTAACTAGAACACCATTCCCAGTAGATCCCAAATATACTATTTCCTCATTTCCTTTAAGTTTCTGTTCAAATACCAGCTTCTCAATGAGATCTATATAACGACTCTTGTCACTCAATTAAAACTGCACAACCCCCCGCTCCCCCCGCCCTGCTGCCGTCCATGTCCCTGATCTGTCTTACTCCAAGATAGCACTTTCCACCTTTAGGAGATCATTTGATTAACTTATTTATTGTGCTTGATTTTTACTTTTGCTCCCACTGAGATGCAATTGTTAAAGTTGGGCAGGGCTATTGGATTTACTCACTAATGTATTGAAAGCTATTAGAACAGAGTCTGGCTCATGGTGGATACTTAGTATATATTTTTGAATGGATGAATGAGTGAATTAATCAGTGGATACATCCATAGAAATATATACATATAAGTGTATTTATTTATTTATTTGTTGGATCATATCTATATACCAAAAGTGAAAATATTCTTACCTATCAACAAATAACCAGGTGTAATCTGAACATTTGTATACACATATTCAAATAGAAATATTGGCAATGGTGTGTGTGTGTGTGTGTGTGTGTGTGTGTGTGTGTGTGTTGGTAGTATTTGCACTTGCTGAATATGTTCAGTAACTCACTAGGATGTGGAAAGAGAAGCTGGGTTTCAGTGGCTTCCTGGGCACCCCAACTAGAGGAAACTATCATTATATTTGTTTACCCTGAAAGTACCTAGTTTTAAAAAAGAGGCTACATTGGACATTGGGAGGTAGATTTTGAACTAAGACTTAGGGGGGTTCCCAGGACCTAAAGTTCAGGAACGCTGTCTGCTATTAACTGTTATAACAAACCTGCACAGCATTTCGACTTTTGAAAATCTTGCTATAAAGTAAGGTAGAGGGGACAAGGCAGAGTCGTTTTTATTCCTTTAGACCTGGGCTCAAACATGTCTTTCAAGATTTCCTTCAGGCTCATCCTGGGAATATGAACTAACCTTCCATGGGAACTTTGAAGACAGAATCCATGGAGATTGGAGAAATTATAAAAAGTTATGGACCTCTTTTTTCTGTTCTTGATAGCTATCTATTGAATGTCTGAGTTCTCCTAAATTCAGAACCTCATCCCCAGTGTGGTGGTATTTGGAAACAAGGCCTCTGGGAAGTGGTTTGGTTGTGTGGGCTCTGCCCCCACAAATAGGATTAATATTCTTATAAAAGGGGTCCTACAGGGATCCCTCATCCCTTCTGCCATGTGAGTAGATGCCCATTTATGAGCCAGGAAGCAGGCCTTATCTGACAGTGAGTCTGTCGGGCCTTGATCACAGACTTCCCAGCCTTCATAACTCTGATAAATATATTTCTGTTATTTATAAACTACTCAGTTGATAGTATGCTATTTATAAACTACTCAGTTGATAGTATGTTATAGAAGCTCAAATGGGCTAAGACATCCCCATTAGTGTGTGTGTGTTATAAGGTAGGGGAATGTTTTGGAGATATTTTTATTTTTCACTAATAGAACAAGGAAACCAAGTCCAGATCTGAGCTTCCACTGCAGTTGG